GCTTTCCGAACTAGATATGGCCACTATGAGTTTGTGGTAATGCCGTTTGGTTTGACCAATGCCCCGGCAACCTTCCAGCGATGCATGAATGAACTTTTCCGTGATTGGTTTGATAAGTTTGTCATTGTTTATCTCGATGATATACTGATCTTTAGTAAGAGTCTGAAAGAGCATGAGGAGCACCTTCGAGTTGTGCTTAATAAACCGCAAGAGGCGAAATTTAAGATTAACCCGAAGAAGTGTGAGTGGGTTCAGCGTCAGGTCCTTTATTTGGGACATATGGTAGATGATGATGGAATCAAACCGGAAGACACTAAGATTGCAGCCATTAGAGACTGGTGCACCGAATGGCAAGGAACTTGGTTTAATCAAGCTCTGCCTCGGGGATTAACTCAACTCTACCCTTTATTTATCCTCGCATGCAGCGAGCGTTACTCCAACAATCTGGCTGATCAAGAGGCAATTTAAGGACAACCCCCGGAGTCCTTAGGAATTATTTAACGTCGCAAACAGGACGACGATCACAGCCAGGTATCCAACCCCCACCAAAGGTTCTTTATAGACGGACTGGTACACGTCTTGCATAAGACTGGCCAGCCCACGTTCCTTCTACAACGCAGCAGAGCTCAAAGGACAAAGCAGCAAAGCATGCTTGCTCTAGTCCCTTGGGTTGACATGGTGACCGTGACCCGCGCTTCGACCAGGGCCCTTCAGAGGCACCGCCCTCTCCTGCCAAATGCGCCACCAGCAAGGAAGATTGTCGATTCTCAAGGAAGAGCGCTCACAACTCCTGAACCGGAAGAGGACACTCAAGTTGAACTCACTTCCACACGTTAAGAAGAGACTGAGATGGGAAGATACGGTAAGGGAACAACGTACCTGAAGATAGCTGCCCCCAACCAAAGATTTCTCACCAATTGCGCCAGCGTGCATTTTGATGACCGGTTATAGCCTCAGTACCACACACTATGCAATGGAGTGCCATCTCAGCCAAAATGCTATGTCAGCATGCTCTCATCATCCCACATACATCCGCTCTCGCCACAGCTCCCGCGATGTCGCCACAGCCTTCCTGCCAGCCTCCCCTCTACCTGGGGGTCGCTACTCAAGCCAGCGTCAATGTATCCGTAGATTCCGTACTGCGTAGAAGCTTCGTCAGCGCAGCAAATAATAAAGTCGCCAGTGCTGGTAGCAGCGGTATCGAACCAGCTCTAATACCAAATTGCAAGGAATATGACAGAGAGCAATAGACAGAAATCCAATTTGCAAAATCACGAAGTAGCCCAGGTTGTCATGTGCCAAGCAGAGAGCACAATCGACCAAGATACCATCCAAATAAGAGCAATACAATGAACTCATATATCAATGTCGACGCTCTCTGGCCACGCTGACACACTATCCAATGTCCCTCCTACTGATTGGCGCCAAGCGCCCTACACTACTCAGCCTATCTAGCCTATCTACATTCATGCAACAGGATCACATCGAAGTTGAAGACCAATGTACACGACGTCATCACCAATGCAGACCGCCAGCATACACTAGGTATGCTCTCTCTCCTCCGCTCATCACACCCCGCTTCCTTCTGCATCCGCCTCCTACGCGAAGACCATCATCATCATCACCTCGCCCGCGCCCTAGCAGCCCGGCTATGGCTGTTGTGTGCCCGCTGCCACTGCAGCACCCCTCTCACCTCTTGCGCCCGTGCGCACGTCCAGCCTGCCTGCTAGCTCACCTACCGCACGACAAAGCAGCAGTGTGGCCGCATTGCCTGCTCAGGCCAGAATGCCCCTGCCTGGGCAGGGCACTTTCTTTTATGGAAAGTGCGGCCCTGTGTCTGGCTGCATGGGCCTGGCTGGGCAAGTTTCCAGTAGCTTCCAGTCGGGCGCCTGTGTCTGCGCCCAGGCCCAGTTTCAGATACTGGCCTGGGCCCTGTGCAGTTAGGCCCATCCAAGCAGCTCCCCAGGCTCCAAGTGTTTGGAGCATCTCATTGGCTCGTAGCATGTGTGTGATGCTGGATCTGCTTTCTCATTGGTCGGCCTCTCCCTGATGTGTCGGCCTCTCAGTGCGTGTGCCCAGGGTTCAACCACCTGAGCCCTGGGCTCAACTGTACAACGCAGCTGCTGCCTCTGGAAGGAGCCAAAAGAGGCTCACGTTGCTCTGTAAGCAACTGGTGTGCTGCAACTGTCTGATACCCTACATACGAGATATGTCCAAAACAGGCCTCACGTGGATATTCAGGCCCGCCTTCACTTAGGGCGGGCACAAGGCTTGCTGGGGGCCGCAGCTCAGAACGCTTGCATACCCGAGAAGGGCTCCGCGAGGGCTCAATTCTCGCAAAAGAGGGAAAAAAATGGCAGTGCCTTCTGACAGCATTTGGGGAAAAAAACAGCACCACCACAATTATCTGACAATCTCCAACACAGATCACGCCGCACTTGAAGCGAACACCGTTCGAAAACGCTCTATCAACGGCCACAACACAGTATTTCCGCCCCAAAAGCTAATCCCACAGAGAACCACGTGTCGACCAGGTAGGCCCAGACACATTTCGTTAGAAACCACCGTTTCTCGGCATCGAAACCTGAAGGCCAGAACACGCCGGAAGCAAAAATCATCGGCGCGCAGCGTTCCCTCCGCAGCCCACTTAGCTATATGAGTTTGCTGTAGATAATTTTGGTGACGGCTTCCACATGCGTTGATTGTATCTCAGCTTCGGCTTCTCACATGAAATGTTAATTGATGTATGCGAGGTGAAACTTGATGAGAACTTGGTTCATTTCATTATATTGTAAATTCATACACATAAAATATATATTGTAATGACCCGCCAAAAACACAGACTGAGAACACTGCTGATTTCTGGGATTTGCCGCTGGAATGAATGCCTTGCTGAAATTCCCGCATTCTGCTGTGATTTCCATGTCTGTGTGTGTGTGTGCCTGCTGGTTTGCATGCCTGTCTGAGTGCTTGTCGGTTGAGTGTGTGTATGACCCGCAAGGGTACTTGTTGGTTGAAGGGCCCCGCAGGGCCGGTACTTACCTGTGGCCGTGACTTTGAGGGTTGCAGGGGGGAAAACACTCAAGTAGCGGGGGTAGGCCCACAACACTTAGAACAGCGGGGAAAAACACTCAAGTAGCAGGTAGGCCGGTACCACTCAAAGTAGTGGTAGGGGTGTCGGGTACTGGAGGCCGAGCAGAAGAAGACAAAAAGTTGGCATTTTTAGAGGCCCAGTAGCGGTAGGATAGCGGTAGGCCGGTCCAAGTAGCCCGGGTCTAGGGCCTGTAGGGAGGATAGCCGAGCCTGCAATGATGTTTCCCTCCGAAAGGGAGGAGGTACCGGTTGCTGGGAGGCCGCTCGGCCTAGGAAGTCACCGCCCAGGAGGCCGGTAGGGCGCTATATCTCAAGGAAGAGCAAAGAGCTCTTCCTCATTTGCGGTGTGCAAGGATTGGCGACATGCTGCTGGAGCGCAGCGCTGGACTGGTGCAGCGCTGCTTGGAGGTGAAGGGCCGCTGGAGCTCAGCCTGGCTATGGCGAGCACTCCAGCTTGAGGAGGAGGAAGAAGGGGGCATAGTAGGAGAGTGGCGGGGCACTTACCTGGCTATGGTAGGCACCATCTTCATCACCTTGTTGGGCGCTGCATCTGGAAGGCCCCAGTTGGGGTAATGCGGCACCAKGGAAGCTCGAGGCAGAGTCAGGCATAGCGGACCAAGTCAGCAGCGGCATAGCTGCTCTGCGTTGTCCTTTGGACATCAGCGCAGCACCATAGCTGCTTGGGTTGTCCTTTGGACATCAGMGSAGCACCCTAGCTGCTTGGAGTAGTCCGCCATAGCCTATGCATGAGAGAGGAGGCTGAAGGAGGGAAGCCATAGCTATGGTGGACTGATTGTTGTTGTTGTTGTTGTTGTTGAGTTGAGTCAGCAGTAAGAGGGAACTTCGGATATTGATTCTGGTTCATCCATTCATTGTTATTATTATTATTGAGAGAAGAATAAGATTGGTGAAGAGAAGGAGGGGGAGGAAGGTGGAGAGAGAAGGGGGAATTGTCATTGGTCTTGCTGGTGTACTTCTTCTTCTTCTTCTTCTTCTTCTTTACCTCTCCTCTGGTCTTTATCTCTTTGCAAGTGCTTTCATTTCTTTCGCAATTGGGTGGCATTGTCTTTCATTGTGAATTTGCACTTGGGAAATGACCAGGATCGTAACAATATCGTCAAACAGAAATGCCCAGTAAATCGTCGACAGAGAGGGAGAAGAGGACAACAAACAAGGGGCTGTGACAAACTGTTTTGTCGGAGTTTTACCGACTCCAAGGGAGGCTGGCACTGGGGCTATGCATTCGTCTGCAAGACAGCACATCCTCCAATCCATGATTTGGTGGTAGTGTCCCACACATGTACCAACCATGTTCGACACATGTACCACGCGTCCCACAAATTCACCAAGTGGGCAACAAACTATGCAAGGGCTCTCCAGCTTTGCCGCGAACTGGACAAGAAGATCAACATCACAACCGAACAAAGATTGGCATCCCTGACGAGGATAGGAGTTGATTGATAATGGTCATGGATGGGAGTTGATGGAAGACGCTCGTGGATGAAAATTCGCAGACTGGGAAAGGACCGCAAGGAGCAAACAATACACAGAGAATGATGAACGACACCCGCGTCTTGAACATACATGTAGTTCATTCAGAGGGGCACGTCGTTTGACAACTCTGCGAGCAAGGCGCAAGGAAAAAACAATAGATAGGCAGACATCCGTACTGAATCAAGCAAGATGGACGCCTGTGGAGGGAGGACTTCGACTTCCATTAGGCGAGAACTTCGGCTCCGCGACCAATTCAGCAAGGCAAGCCAAGAACCAATGCACAAGGAAATACTCAACACAGGAGTTTCAACAAAGAAACACCCGACAGGGGTTTCAACAAGGAAATACTCAACAGGAGTTCCAGAGGAGGTGAGGAAGAAGAAGAAGAAGAAGAAGAAGAAGAAGAAGCTTACCGTGATTGTGCCATCCTCGTTGCGCACATAACGCCATCGAGCAACATTGTCGTCGAGCTTGACTCGCTGTTTCTGGCCTTTATCGTCGACGTAGGACTCCTCCGCCATGTAAGTTTGAGGACTGAAGGGCTTCTGTTCAATCCCCATAATGTTTGACACGCGAACCATGCTAAGCTGCAAGAGAAAATGAGAAAATGGAGCCCCGTCACATCATCCCGCCCTGACATCATGGTGAAATTAAGCAGAGTTTCTGGTAATCGTAGTCACATGATTGCCCAAGAGGCATGCTCAACAGATTTTTTTGCCCAACCCCATCTTCAGGGTATTCGATTGCTTTAAGCATCTGCTGACTCTGCTCCTCCTCGAGCTAAGCATTTACAGACAATGGCTCGCACATTAAAAACCATGCACGATCAAGTTTGCAGGCTCAAGGAAAATGTTCATTTGAACTGAAAGTGAATGTTCCCCCCTTTGCAGACTAAAGGAAAATGTTAATTTGATGTTGCGCCCCCTCCCATCTTCAGGGTATTCACTGACTCTGCTCCTCCTCGAGCTAAACATTTACAGACAATGGTCCACAGACTAAAAACCATGCACGATCAAGTTTGCAGGCTCAAGGAAAATGTTCATTTGAACTGAAAGTGAATGTTCCCCCCTTTGCAGACTAAAGGAAAATGACAATTTGATGTTGCCCCCCCCCCCATGAACATAGCATCTTTGCCCTCCAGAGAGGCCTGACCCTTAGCACCCTTACCCTGCAACAGACTCTGAACAATGACCTTTCACAGCAAAAGGCTCTCCACTCCCCTGGACTCTTCCTTCTGGACCACAGATTATAAATATTTGACGGCCAGAAACACGCAATCCCAGTAAGTGGGTCCTACTGTGTTCTCTCCTTAAAATCATTTAAAAAAATAAAAGCACACCACCGAGACAAACCAACAAACGAACGAATGAACAAATGAACAGACAAACGAACTAACAAACCAGCAAACGAACGAGTGAACGAACAAAAGAATGAAGGAACGGACAAACAACCAAATGAACGAAATGGCAAGTAGAGAGTTACTAAAAGGCAAGTGGTAGAAGGAGACATATCAGTACAGCTCCAATGTTCGACGACATTCAATGGAAGAACTTCAGTGTCTATGCAACGTCTGGAGAGGAAAAGACAAAGGCGAGTAGTGGTGGGAGTGGGAGTGTGGGCACTGAGATCATACACGGCACCACTATACGGCATCGGGCAGTATGGTACGACGTATTATACCTTTTCCGTTGCAAGGCGCGGCAACCTGGGCACTTGAACCACTAACGGAGGCCCGATCGATCTCTCACGCTTCTTCAGTCCCTCTCTCTCTTCATCTGACAATCCCACCCCACCTCTCTCCTCTCCTCTCTCATCCTCATCGTCTTCTCGATCAAAACCCACTGCCTTCCGTCCTCCATCTTCATCTTCTTCTCCTTCCTCTTCTCCTTCCTCATCCCCGCTTCGCTGAGCTGGAGACAGGGCTCTCTGTCAAACACAAAAACAAACAAAGAGACGGACAAACAGTTTAATGTTATGATCCTGGCCAATTTCGAGATACACATTCATCAGATAGTACAATGCCGCCCAATTGCAGAAAGAAATAAATGACTTGAGAGGAGAGAGAGGATTAGAAGAAGAAGAAGAAGTAAGAAAGAAGAAGAAGATGATGTACACCAGCATAGACAAATGGCAAGGCTCTTCTTCTTCGCCCAACAATCTCCTCCTCGTTATCTCCCCCTTCTCTTATTCATACAAGAAATAATAATACAATTTGAATGGCTGATCCAGACTCAATGTCCGAGTTCCTCTTCTACTGCCGGCATCACATGAGGTCCACCATAGCCATGGTCGCCTCCTCCTCCCTTCCTCATCATAGGCCGAGGCTATGGCGGACTAGTAGGCCTTGCCCAGATGCCCAAAGGACAACCCAAAGCAGCTATGGCTGTTTCACTCAGGCCGTCATGCCAAACTCTGCCTTGAAGCTTCTTGGTGTGGCTCTCCCCAGTTGGGGACTCCTTGCTGCAGCGCCCACCAAGGTGATGAAGATGGCTGCCACCATAGCAGGGTAAGTACCCCTGGCGCTCCTCCCCCTTCCTGTCCTTCTTCCTCCTCCGTGTCCTTCTTCCTGGATAGCGATGCTCCAACCGGCGCTCCAACCAGTGTGTCGCCAAACTTGCACACCGGGAAAGAGGCCGGGCTCTTCGCCCGGCTGGGAGACATAGCGGCCTGCTTGCCTCTTTGGGCGGTGACTTCCAAGCAACCGGTACCTCCTCCCTTTCGGAGGGAAACATCATTGCAGACTCTGATATTGCCCGTACAGGCCCTAGACCCAGACTGGTTGGACTGGTATCCGCCTAGACCTAACCTACGACTACTGGGCCTCTAAAAATGCCACTTTGGCTTCTTCTGCTTGGCCTCCAGCACCCGCGCATCTACCCCTTCAGGGTGCGGTACCGGCCTACCCGCTACTTGAGCGTTTTTCCTGCTGCAATCCCTCAATGTCACGGCCACAGGTAAGTACCGGCCCTGAGGGCCCAATGAACGAGCAAGTGCCTTTGCGGGCCACACACTCAAGCCAACCAGCACTCAGACAGGCACAGCCACACACACACTCAAGCCAACCAGGACTCAGACAGACATGCAGTCCAGCAAGCGTGCACACACAGACTTAGTAGCAGGCAGGAAACTCAGCAAGGCATTCAGTCTATGGGCAAAACTCAGAAATCAGTCGTGTGTTTCAGTCCATGTTAGGACGGGTCATCACACTACCCCCCTCCTCAAAAGCGAGGTCCCTTCGAGCGAACAACTCATTCTGAGTCCTCGACAAACGCATCGTAAGCAATCAAGGCAAAGAGGTTTCTAGAATACTCCGTCACAATAAGCCTTGCGGAGATCTTAGGAGTAGCGTTAGCTGCAATTTGTCGCTCGTAGGCTTTAACAACGCGTGGTGCACTGCGTAACAGTTCCTGCTTGGAAATCCAGTACAGATCGTCCAACGGGTGATACGTGAAGCGAACCTGGTACTGTCTGTTGCGTCACTTCCCTACGTGCTGTTTAATTCCGTCTATCTCATGCCCGCCTTTGATTGCACGAGGGATCATGTCTTTGCGATAATCGAACGTCTTAGCGTCACGGTGGAGGTACAGTTTTGATGCATGGAACACAGGGTATGTGTGCAGATGGGCTGGCACATCAACTACGTACGAAGGGCCAAAGTGGTCTTCGCCAATTACATCCAAAACTTCCCACGGACCATAGTAGAGTGGGATAAGTTTGCGAGAGACTCCCTCTTCTTCTGAAAACTCAGACATCTTGACCTAGACATAGCTTCCTACCTGAATATCCGACGGTCGCCGCCTTTTGTTTGCATGATGGATCATGGCGTGTTGTCGCTTGGTCATTGCTGCAATGGCAACTTTGAGCAAGCGATCATACTTGGCCCTGAAGCCAGGCTTGTCGGGTGTTAAACCAGCTGGCTCTTCAGGGAATAGGTAGGAGAGCGGATTACGGATCTGCCAACCGTAATGCAAACTGTTGGGTGTCATGCCGGTGGCAGAATGGACAGAATTGTTGTACAACCCCTTAACGAAATACAGCTCTTCATCCCATGTTTCCTGATTCGGAATAATCAAGGCGCGGAGAAGTTGAAACACAGTCTGGTTGATCTCCTCAGCCAAACCATTGGCTTCGGGGTGTCGGCCAGATGTCATACACAGTCTGATCCCTAGTTGAGACATGAAGTTCTTCTATTCAGTACTAATGAAGTGCGGATCCCGATTGCTCACAAGCGTCCTCGGGGTTCCAAACTGCAAAATGTACTTCTGTTGGAACTCACGGATCACTAGTTCTGTTGGAGCGTGAGGTGGCAAAGGAATCAGATTAAGGAACTTAGAGAATCAGTCAACAATCACCATGACTTGTGAGTAGCCGTTCTTACTTACCTTTCCCAAGTCCGTGAAGTTGATGAAGACGGACTCCCCAGGACCTTGGGGAATGGGAAGGGGTGTGAGTAGCCCCATAGGCTTTTGTCTGCATGGTTTAATTCGTTGACAAACTTGACATTCAGCCACAAACTTTTCACCAGTCCCTATCATGCCAGGCCAATCAAACTGTCTCAGCAGATTTGCGTACGTCTTTGCCATGTCGATGTGTCCGCTCCGACCATGAGCCAAATCCAGAAAGTGCGTGCGGAGAGGCTCATAGTTGGTCACACACAAGAGGTTTTGGTTCCCGTAGCGACGAAAAATCAGTCCATATTCGTGAAAATCAGGAATCAGGCTAAGTACTAGGATCAGTCCGCAGCCACTCAAGGATGGGACTAAGTTCCGGATCCTTGGCCGTATGCTCTACGAGCTCCTCTTTCAGTTTCTTCCGGAGGTCAACCCTTTTTGTGTCTCAACTCAAAGTCAAAGATGTCAATTTCATGGAACCAGCGAATTAACGTAGGGGACAGGGTAGTTTGCTCCTTTATCCACTTTAGAGTCTCATGATCTAAGAACACTTTGAAGTGGCGTCCCAAAAGATAGTGCTTTCAATGATCCAAAACCATACACAGAGCATAGAGCTCGCGCATGTAGGTGGAAGTGGCTACCTTTACGCTGGGCATGCGTTTGCTGTAGAATTCGAGCGGCTGCAAGCCATCGCCGTCATCTTGCTGCAGCACTGCGCCGATTCCAAACTGACCTGCATCCGTAGTAACTACGAATGTCAGTTTGGGATCTGCAACATGGAGTACTGGATAACTTACCAAGGCTTCTTTCAAAGCTTGAAACGCGTTCGTGCACGCAGTGTCCCAAGAGTAGGGAACATTTTTGCTTGTCAACCAGGACAATGGACGAGCAACAATAAAGAAGCGGGCCACAAACTTTCGATAGTATGACACGAGACCAAGGAAAGAGCGCAGTTCACGGATGTTCGCGGGCTGAGGCCAATCCCGTATGACTTCAACCTTGGTCGCCTCAGGCTCTAGGCCTACCACAGACAACCGATGCCCAAGATAGATGACGCTATCGTTCCCAAACTCATATTTCTCTAGGTTGAGACGGAGTTGCGTCTTCTTGAGGATAGTGAGCACTTCCTCGAGGTGCTCGAGGTGTTCCTCCATGGATTTGTTGAAGATTAGTACATCATCCAGGTATACCACTACGAACCGGCCAATCTGTTCGCGGAGTACCTTGTCCATGAGGATTTGGAAGGTGGCCGGTGCGTTCATGAGACCGAAGGACATTACGGTAAACTCGTAAAGCCCATCGCGTGTTTTGAACGCAGTCTTGTGCTGGTCCGCAGGATCGACTTCAATCTGGTGGTAGCTAGACTTGAGATCGATCTTGGAAAATACCTTGCACCCCCTGCGGCATCAAGCAAGTCATCTATGCGGGGCAATGGATAGGCGTTCTTTCTTGTGATGCGGTTTAGACGGCGATAGTCAATACACATGCGGAGTTTGCCTCCTTTGTTCGGAACAAACAAAACAGGAGCACCAAATTCAAACTCACTACGCTTAATCCACCCTTTGTCAATCATTCGTCAATCTATCGCCGGAATTCCTCCAACTCGCTGGGTCCTATTCGGTATACACAACCCTTTGGAGGAACAACACCCTCGACCAACTCGATGGTGTGTTGGACCGATCGCGCGGGGACTCCACGTGGCTCGGCAAGAACTTCCGGGAACCAATCGAGTAGGTTTTGGATATTTGGTAGAACTGGTGGAGGTGGAGTATCAACAAAGGGATCACCTAGATCAGATAGCGGGTTGCAAATAGATGAAGTAGGATCATTTGGACTAGTAGAAGGTAGAGAAGTAGAGGTGCTAGAAGTAGAATCACTAGCCAAAGTAGTAGTGGTATTAGCCGTAAAAGTCGATGGCAATGGGTAGGAAGAACAAAGGTAACATACAACTGTTCGTCCTCTTTGTGCTTGCGCCATTTCTTGCAGAACTTAATAGCATTCAGAAAAGTCACCGGGGGCGCGTGCTTCTCATCCAGGAGGACGGGAAGCTCGTTCCCTTGAGCATCTTTGACCATGAAAAGTGACTCCTTCCAATTGGTCCATTCGCATTGGGACTGCAGCCAGCCCAAGCCAAGGACAACGTCGAAGGGGCGCTTGTCAAGGACATAGAAGTTCAACGCGTGTGTGACAGTTTTGTCCTTGTCAAAGGTAGTGTGCACACCTTTGACTGCATGCGTAGAAGAGACAACTTCTTTGTTGCCCACTTGGGTTCGGCAAGGGTTCTTCAAGGCCACTTGCTTCATTCCTAAGCCCACTTCGTGTATCCCATGAGGTGACATAAAGTTAGCAGTAGCGCCACAGTCAATCAAGACACGGAGATAGCGGTGGTTTACGAAAAGTTTGAAGAAGATCAACTTCACTGTCCCTTTGGCACGCTGCTGTTTCATCTCATCCCAATCGTCCAAGTGGTAGTGGAAGTCGACCGTCCCCGACTCCTCCCAAGGCTCGACATACAAAACATTACACACTTCAGCCTTGGCTTCAGCAGATGATTAGGCTTCAAGGGAGGACTGCTGATTTGCATCAGATTCAGTCTCCCTTGTTGTAGAGGATGTTGAAATCGACTCTACGCCCAGTTTTGGTTTCCCTGCGGCCGATAGCAATCCTGTACCTTATGGTTCGGTTTCTGCCAATGCAGGCATACCCCCTTCTCGAGTCTACCCCGCCAATCATTTTCAGTGATTCGGAGATCCACCCATGGTTTAGTGGCCGCATCCTCCGGTTTTGTCGGGATCTTGACTCCCTTGGGAAGTTGGACATAGTTCTTCCCTGCATTCCGATTTGGTCCCTTTGTATTGGCAGTTTCTTTAAAGGCAGTGATTTTTTCTTCTGCTTGGTTTGCGTCAGACTCATGGGCTGACGAACAGGCTGTATCACTGTCCTGTTCTTGGTCGTCACCAAGAGTGGGGTCATCTGTGTTGGCCTCTTCTTCAGCCTCCACCAGGTCATGCACAACAAAACGGTTGCTGCCTTTGAACCGCCTGCCGCCCATGGGCTTTTTGTTGCCTGCTGTG